AATATCTTTCACTTGATTATTACCATCCGAAATAACCTTGTCATTTGGATCGACTGGTTGAATGTTGGTATTACTGTTTGCGAATGTATTTGACTCAGGATTTTTAAACATCGGCGATTGTTTGAATGAGATGTTATTTTGCTTCAAAAATTTGATATACATATCAGTGTCGATTCCCATGAGACTTGGCTGTTGGATTTTGCTCGATCGCCATCAAAAACTTTTAATTCACCATCAAATAGTTTTACTCGAAAACCTCCCTTTACTGGAATATAGCCACATTGTTGGTTTCTGCCCTTCTTATATGGAATCGGTAATCTAGTACCTTCTGGAAAGGTATTGTTCATCAGAATATCGCGAAGCACTTCGTATGCTCCAGACTCAATGTTGAATCCAAACTGATGCGACGAACCAACGGCGGTATTTTTTGTCTCAATGTCAATAAGATTCAATATGTAATCATACGTTGCAACCCAATCATAGTTATTTAGTGCCCTGTTTGCTAACTTACTGTTATTCACATTAAATTGTTTACCATCCGTCCCAATATATACGTTTTTATCTGGAGTACCAGAATTTAGAATCGGATCGACTTTTCTTTTGATAATAGTTGGGTTAATGGTGTATTGATCAATTATTTTTTCTCGTGCATTTTTTTGGAAATTGAATACATTAGCTTCAACTTGAGTCCCAAAGTCATATGTACTCTGACTGTCATCAATATCCGATAGGGAGTCTTCTTCATCACCTATGTCCTCGAGACCATACTGCGATTCTGTTGTTGCCATGGAAGGTGTAGCTTGTAATCCTGTTGTTACCATGGAAGGTGTAGCTTGTAATCCTGTGGTTGCAATGGACGGTGTTGCTTGCAATCCTGTTGTAGTCATTGTTGGTATCGCTTGTAATCCGGTTGTAGTCATTGTTGGTGTAGCTTGTAATCCGGTTGTTGTCGTTGTTGGTGTTGCTTGTATTCCAATCGTCTTAGAAAGTACTGCTTTTTGGTCTTTGTCAGTCCAGAAATATCTATAGTTTTATTCAAATCAGTAGCCCATTGTGCTAGTTTGTATTTATCATTCTTAATGTTTTCTATTTGTAGATCTTTGAGGTTTTCATCAGCAAGTTTCTTTAATTTATTTTTCCGATCACGAAGAGATTTAAAATTCGGAAACATTTTCGAGTCTATATAAATGTAATTTATTGTTTCCTATCACGAATTAATAGCATAATCAAAGAATTCGGATCTTCAAATCTCACGTTGTTAAAATCCTGAATAATAATTGCGCTTGATCTTAACGGTGCAAAATGGAAAGTGATTGTATTGGTTAAATTTCCTGCT